AATGAACTTAGAGACGTTGTCGAATTTGGTTTTCAAATATTTGAGAACTTTTATGTATTTTCCAGGGTCTTTCCTGAGGCAACTTACAGATTTCTTAAAATTTCCTTTTATTGCCGACGTTTATCCAACCATTTCCGCCGGAACAAAATTTTTCCGACAAAAATCCGACTTATCCGACCTAAACAAAAATTTCCGACTTCCCTGGCCACCCTGTTTAAGATGCGAATGCGCGCAGGGTCACTGACCGGTCACAATAGCGAGCCAGACAACTTAGAAATCGGACGACGCTTGTATTTTCTTTTCTTTTTTTCCCCACAAGTGACAGCAGAGAGACGAGTCGGAGTATTGATTAAATTTTATTTGCACGGCAACACAGCGTTTATACTGCACAACCTGCCAGTCACAATTGTTGCTTTATCAGACTCCCGATGGCAAACTTCTCAGTGGTAACGAAAGCGAAAGTAGATCTTGATTTTCTCGATCGAGCCTCGGTGTCACATACACTTCCGCATGCCGCCATAGCCGCCTGTTCGCGTGAAACGTACTCTCGGACGGGGAAAAGCTGAACTAATATAATATCACATTCGCGACCGGCAAAATTGAACTTACTGACCTTATCGCACTTGGTTTTCAAATATTCCAGTTCCGTGATACTGAGACTATTTTGACAAAAGGTGGGACTTGAGATACCTGTAATTAGGTGTACTCGCCCAAGCTGAATCTCACATTCCAGGATGCGTATTTTTTCATGAAAAGTCGTATTCGCGTATTTTCAGCAAAAAATCCTACTAAAATACGTAAAATCGTACTGGTTGGCATCCCTGTTGCTGCTGTACATCAGTATTATACCTGTATCAGCGCAAAAATAAAACTAAATAGCAACAATATTTTTGTTTTTATGTCACAACGCCGCCGATTGGTGTCTCGTGGGGGTGTGTGTGTGTACGGCAGCGGCACCAATCAGGGTCCCTTGGGGGCGAAGTAGAGAAAAATATTCATGAAAAAGAACAACTAATACAAGACGCTGGTAAGGGAGAGTAGAATTTTTGTATCTGCAAAATGATAACCAATCAATGTAGAATTGTTCCAGTAGAACACAACACCCCAATCTCAATAATAAAGTATACCTCAGTCACCTTTACAACACAATTTCACTCTTATAAAAAAAGAACAAACCCTAAAGGAATCAGGAAAAGCTAACAAAAGAGATCACAAATATTGAAAAGCACCATCTTAGTCCTCCACTGCTTAGGTAAGACAAAATAAAAGCACCAAAGCTATTCACCTCAAAAACTTCCGATTCAGTAATGGTGGGCGGAGCATTGAAGAAGTGTAATACTTTTGACGGGCTCTGGATACGGTTTTTCTGGGCTGCCTCGGGGTTTGTGAAACGATTATTTCTGTTGCCCATGAAGTCTTTGTACGACAAAGTACCATCAGCCAGTTCATGAGGATTTGGAACCTCTTGAAGGAATGCTTGCTTTGACATGCTGAAATAAGGTGTGAATAAGTTCAAATAAATTGACAACAATGAAAATGAGACCAGAAGGACAACCCTCCCCCACCGTAATTTTTTTTTTAAAATAAGAGTTTTACGGCACTTGCAACACAATCAGGTCTAATAAGTGCCGAAGACTTGGAGGAGTTACAAGAGAGTAACAAACAGAAAAAAGGAGGGGGAGATAGAGACGATAAATTTTTTTATAGGAAAGAAGGAGCAAACCACACCAGAGCACCCAACAACCACCCACTGCTTGGTAAATGAACAAGATTAACAATTAAAGAATGTGGGAAAATAACAAAGAACTTTTACAGCTACTGATAAACCAGATAGTAGCCTCCCCCCCCCCCCCCCCAAAAAAAAAAAACCCAACAAATCCCACCACCTAAAAAAATACACTTGACTATGTCAATTTCAATTTATGATAAGTCAAAACCTCACCTTAGCTGAAGTTTATTGCCAAAGAAGAACACATTGTTCAAGTTGGCAATGGCTCTTTCAACGGAAATTGGGTCTCCCAGTTGAATCATAGCAGACCCCTCCTTGCTCTTCAAAAACTTGATCTGTAAATAAGTGGAAAATAAAACTGGCCATTAATTTTTAATAAAAAATGTTATGTAATGCAATTTTTCAACCTTCAACAATGTTACATTCACTAACAAAAATCAGCACTTGCTCAGTCCACCAATAGTAACACATACCCAGACATGACAACCACTCCATGAGCAAAAATAGGATTACCCTTCACAATCTGTCCAAAATATACGAGTTAGGGAAAAAGAATCAGTCCCCAGAACACTTAACTACTACATTAAGATTACGCAATAAAGCAAGGGTGGTTAAAAAAAAGTGAGCAGCAAATAAATGTAACTAAAAAAGTCTGTTAACACATCATTTATGATAAAACACACATATATTGCTAATGACACAAAATGAAAAATTATTTCCTTGTCCTTCACAAGTTTACCAAGTATTGCAAACAACTGTAATTAAAAATGCATACTTCCATGTCAAATTTCAAGTTGCAAATGACCAATGGAAACAAAATTCCAGAAAAAAAAGCAAATTTTTATGCAAACCATAAAAGGGTTCTTTAATGTGTTTTAGAAAAGAAGGAGAGTTATCGGAGTACTTGGCAGGTCTGTGTACCTATGAAGAACATAAAAACTGAGCAACAAATGACTTTGACGCATCAATCATATGCATGATATATAAACGTTTGGGTGACCACCCCCCACCTCACTCAGAACCCTATGGACTTAAACAAAATGGCATTTTCTCACAAGAACAATGGCGCTGAAAAATCCTTTTCAGAAATAAAGCCCTGAGAGTAAATTACAGGAATAGCAACAACGAACTCAAGATAGAATCGAACTTAGAGGTCTACAACCAGTAATCCCTGCAGCACAAATTACTAAACACATGAACTTTCTCTTACCCTGACAACATTGCCATACAGACAGAAGAGGTTGAAGAGTCGCTCGCAGTTCATCTTGTCCATGTTCAGTCCATACACCATGCACACAGCTCCCTGTGCACCCTGGCCTCCTTCATAACCTCCACGTCCAAACCTGTCAGGCTGAAGAGGATATATCAAATACCTTTTCTATAATATGAGAGTAAAACTGCAATACACAAAGTTAAAAAATGTACTTTCTGGGAATGCAAAGGCAAAATACACTTCAAACGAAGCTTCAGCCTCACATTTCCAGGTTCATAACATAGGCTACAAAACAACAGACAACCCATAATGCTAATCCAGCTACCTACTTGGAAGACAGACCATACTTACAAAAAAACCTAACAACTATAATTGCCAAGTTTTATTCATCTTGAGCCAATTACAGCATCATAATCTATACTACCCGCAACACCCTAAAAATAGCTTGATACAAGGTGATGTTACTACAAAACTCATTGAAGCTTCCATGTCATTCAGCCCACAACTCATCTCTTCATAGGATCATTGAAAACCAAAATAAAAGAACACCGAAACTTTTCAACGTCAACTGTCTGAAATTCCTTCCCCTCTCCCAAGCAACAGTATTTTTAAAAAAAAAATCACCCACATCATTCACTACTGACACAAAACTGCAAAAAACACAATTAAAGGAGAGTCCTCTCCCAGTCGTGGAAGACAGTCTCCTTTCATGGATGCACATTTATAATTAATCCGATTTACGAAGACTCGGAGCAGAAATTTTTGTAAGCAGATCAGTAATCTCTCTTGAAGAAATCCTGCCGAAATAGCACGGATTCAGTCTTATGTCTGATGATGTACTGAAATACTTACTCCACCCTTTGGTCCAAATCTGTCTCCTGGTCCGTATGGTCCAGGACCTCTGTTATATCCATCAAATCCATCTTCATAATAACCTCCAGGGCCACCAAAGCCCCCGTAATTGCTGCCAGCAGGACCATCTGAATAAAAGCGAGCATACAGCACTAAAGGACAAATGGCAACGCATAATGACAGCTTGCTTACTGGGTCAGAACTGTTCCATACATGACTCTTACCATTTTATTCAATATTGGAAATACATTTTTAACACATCGTAAGTGATAAGGAACAGATGTTTAGTTAACGCAGGTAAATTACTACACAAACTTGGACACACTAACTAGTAGCCCCTTATTGTATCTGAACATATGGTGAAGGTTTAGAGCAAGTTTAGAATTTGAAAGAAAAATAAAATAAATTGAAATTTAACTCTGTCCTATACTCCCAAATTCAACCCACCCCCCTCCCAAAACAGAGGCGGCTACTTGTGTCCAGTGGTAAGACATACTGTATGGAGCAGGGGCTGTACCGAAGCGAGGCTCTTGCAACAATGGCTGGCCACGACCTGCAGGGCCGTCCTTTCCTGTTGAGCAAACAAGTCCTCTTTAAGAATTTGTATGGTTAAACATGACACAGACATAGAAAACCCTAACATCTGAAATTGGGAATTCAATAGTACTTTTAAAAAAATCTACGAAAATCTACTACATATTTTGCGTTAAGAAATCCATTCACTTTAACATAATAAGTATACTCTGCATCCAGTGGTCCTTGAAATAAATGAAACAGTTATCTTAGTGAAAATATACACACTGTGGTGACAAAAAATCCAACCCAATAGAAAATAGACAGTTTCTAAAAGTTTTAGAAAATATCTGCATCTCATACGTCAAAAGTGCTAACTAAACGTGTGGCAGCGATGGAAAATCCTTCCCATGTCGCTAGTCCCATTTTTTTTTATAGCTACGAGTCAAAAAGGAGTGAAAATTTAGATGAGGTAAATTTTGGGGGGCTAAAAAATATATTATTTTCACATCAAAACTATTTTAACGTCAAATTCGAGGTTGAAAATGCAATTGGAGACGTTTTCGAGGCACCCCCATTGATGTGACAACAACAGAGTTCGAGAGACTTACAAGCGGTGAAAGCGAAAACATTTTGACATTTCTACCGACTCTGGATTCATTTTACTTATTTTTTATCCTGCTTTATTATACATCAAAATCCTAGACAGAACACCTCAGGAATTCCCTAGAAACTTGTGCGCATGTATTTATAGCGTCTAGACGTAGTGCACATTGAAAGAATGCACAGCGCGTCTGACGAGCTTAAAAAAATCTTTTTTTTTCAATCCCCATTTCTAGTCAATTTTTGTTAGGTTTAAGGAGTTTACCGTAAACTTTAATCGCGATTTTCTCAGTTCTAGTTTTCTCCTCTTTTCGGACTTTAAATGGCAATATCTCAGCTTCTAGTGATTGCATGAAATAAGTTAATTGTTCAGAAATGAATGTAAAATCAGACAATACAATCAACTAAATTTCCATATTTTGGTCAAAGTAAAGGATTTCCCCTCGCAGCCACACAAATATCTAGTGCATGCATGTGATGCCCCAAAACTGTGCAATAAATAGTAAAGAGCAGAGGGCCTACTTTCAAGAAGGGAATATATAGGCGCTAAAAAACTACTACACTATTACATTTTCCTAGACAGAATTGGATATAAAATTTAATCCTTACTTTCAGAAAAGAAAAGTCCCCAATTATAAGAACCATAAAAAGATCTCATGAAGAGTTTCAATTTTGAGCTGCACAATTCATAAATGCCGTTTTTTTTCAATAATTATTATGATGATGCTTCACATTTATGAGTTATGCAAGTGGGGAACAAACTCCATCCAGCAACAAAGTATTTCTTAAGATAATACAAATATAAGCAGACAAAGACGGGAAACAAAGCAAAAGTTCAGGACTCAATGTAACCAACATTAGACTCAGGCAGATCCAATCTACACACCTAAAGTTGTCAGATGTTCTTTCTATTTGAAGCACTAATGGTTTATCAGAGGAAAAATGCATACAATATTGACAATTTAGGACTTACTGACACAGTACCAATATACAGATGTATAATATATGTGAAGTGAAGAAAATATTTGAGGCAATGAACAGTTTAATGTCATTGTCTAGCGACATATACAGGGAAAGGGAAGGAATTACAAATATCTTCCTACTTCAGACTCAATCATCATTTTGCTCTACTCCGACATTACCAGTGAACCCCTTCAAAATTGTCAGCTCAATAACGTTGCCGTCCTGTTGACAAAGAGCCAAGCATCTCCCAGCCAACATGACCCGGCTTGCACTGCGAGACAGGGACAAAAAGTTCATCAACAATTGGGAGACCTTTCCGAATTGTGAAATCATAGTGGTAGTGTTGTGGTACCACTAACTGTGGAATGATTTCACTGGTTGGCAGAGGTGTGGATTGGTTTCACTGGTTGGCAGAGGTGTGGATTGGTTTCACTGGTTGGCAGAGGTGTGGATTGGTTTCACTGGTTGGCAGAGGTGTGGATTGATTTCACATGTAGGGATCACTTGTTGTCTGCTCTGTGAATGGGGTTCACTTGTTATCTGCAGGGTGGAATAGATTCACTGGGTGCCTGCAGGGTGGATTGGATTCGCTTTTGTGACTTCAGAATGTGAAGGTTCTCTAGTTGAACTGTACTGTGGTATGCAGGGAAAACTTCAATGGCGTGTTTATCCATGGTGTTTACAACCTGTCTTGTTCTGGGCTTGTTCGGTTGGATTGCGTATTTTGTAGGAATTCTGGGTTGGCAAATCAATTATGAGTGAACTGGAAGGTCGAGTGTGTTTGGGACTGGCTGAATCAGTCCTGGTGTGGTATCTGTTCGTGGTAGGTATTCACAGAGATGAAAGTCTAAAAGAAAGCGAGTTCACTATTTGAAAGCCAACTTGATGTGCTGTACTGTGATTCTGAAGCTGCAGTTTGCAATCCACACAAATTAATTACTTTCACCTTTGACACTTATGTTGAACTGAAGCGTCAATATTTTTTTAAAAAGCATACTTCTCTGTATCTTCTTTTTAATGTATAGCTTTTTTTTTCTGGCTGAAGCTATTACGAGACAGTTTAATTGGATGTGTGGATTGTATTGAAGTCTTGCAAAATTGGTGTACAGACATTTCCATCTGTAGTATTTATGTCACTTTCAGACAAGAACAAAATGATCTAAGACATTTCTTGTAGTCCCCCTTTATTCCTTGTGTAGGAAGGTGGAAGTAGGAAGCCCCATGTTGGTTTCAGCATAAAAAACATGAGTAGCATGTTGTCCTGTGGTGAGTGAAGCAAGTTTTTAGAAAGGTGCAATGCAATGCAAGGAAAGTGAAAATGCAGACTAAATTTACTGATGAAGAATTCAAATATTGACTAACCTCCTCCAAGAGATGGGTTTGTGTAGTCCCAACTTTCAGCATCGTTCCTCACAACATTCAGACGAGTTGGCTGTGAAAACAAAATTGCTTTTAACAAAATAATTCTTTTAAACAACCAGACCTGCCACTCTATGAAAACTCAAAATCAGGATCTCAGGGAGAAAAAAATTGGGATCAACAGCAAATCACAAAGGTGACTGCCAAAGCTGACTTAAAATTTTTCCAGAGGTGTCCATAAATGACTTGACCTATATGCCCTGTGTGTCTTTATTTGCGTGCGTGTGTGTGTGCGAGTTATTATTTTTTTGTAAATCCTTAAGCATCGCGTCAAGCACTCCTAGTTCAAGTGTCTATACCCCCCCCACCAATAAGTCACGAAATACATTAACTTAAGTTGACCCCGTCACGCAGAACTCACACGGCGATGTCATGTCACGCGGCGCGAATGAAACAATTTTTCTAACGGGTCCGACTAACGTTCACACAAAACACTCGGATGAGCGACAGTCGTTCTACTTCTAGGATGATGATGGCAGCCGACCGACCAAATGTGCCAACAAATCTCTTATCCCTCATAATGCATTCAGACTAAAGCAATGACAACGGCTGTAGGTTAGTCTTGTCAGCGCAGTTACATGTAGCTGGGTAAGGGTTAGAAAAACTGTCGCTTGTGCGAGTGTTTGGTGTGAACACGCAGTTACCAGACCTCGGACAAGGCTTGTATTGAAAGTAACAGCGGAACTACGAATATTATCGATTATTTGTATGTCCCAAATCGTAACAGTTACCTGGGTATCACCAGAGAATTCTGAGTGCGGCCAAAGATCACACACAACTTGGGGCGAGTCAACTACTAAATGCGGCATCAATATTTCGGGAAATAGTGCTCCGAGTTCCTACTGATAAAAATTCAAAGGGTGCTTCCCGCGATAAAGGAGAAGGCAGAGTAAGTTTTTAGAAAAATCCGACACAACAGCAGACTGGGACAAAAAACCGGGATACATGCGATCGAAATCTGGAAAATCCAGATGCTAGAGATTTGGGGCAAAAAATCGGATATCCCGACTAAATCGGGATGAGTGGCAGGTCTGAACAACTGTTTTTACCTGGTAATTACCCGTTCCCTGAAATTAAGGTACACTCAAAGAACCAGAAACAAAAGAACACACCTGCTGTCAACTGTCATTGAAAAATAGTTGCAATAAAATTCCCCTTCCTTTACAACACTAAACAATGAAAATGAAAAATTTATCCCAAATTTAAGATGAAGCGGTCAGTGACAGTTTAATTAAACAGTTTTAGCCTCTCCTGTACGATGACCCATCTGTGAAAGACACTGTTGATATGTCCTCCCAATAGTTTGTAAAATGAAATAACAGAATTTGATCAAAATCGTAACACTTCATTCCTGACAGAAAAAAAATGTGCTAATTCATTTTTAAACTTAAAATAACTTGCATTTTCCTGTTGTTTTTCTCACAGCGCCATGTGATAGCAGAGGAAAACCTCTCACAAATTGATATTATGACCTATGCAACTTTCAGCCAAACATAAACATTTTTGTTTTCATTTTTACCATAAATGTTAGAAAGATTTTAAAAGTCAAGAAAAATCATTGAACATTAAGTGCTTTGCAGTGAGAAATCCAACTTAAAACCAGTGTCTAACAGAACGTTTGTAACTTCCCCCAACAGTTATTACTTTGTCACTGGTACAAAGACAATATTCAAACAAGGGTCCAAACTAAAACAAAGTGAAAGCACAAACAAATTACCTTGGCATATTCAATCTTCAGTGTGCAGCATCCAGAGTAGATATCTGCTCCATTCAGATATTGCTTTGCTCTCTTGGCCGACTCTACATTATCAAACCTTGAATCAACTAAGGAAGTAATTTCATTCAAAAGGCAAAAACAAAATTCTTTGAATCACAACAAGTTTACAAATATAACGTTTCATTGCAAACAATAAGGAAAAAAAAAAACATTGTTGCGCTTGAAAACTTGAGGACATAAATATTTTGATAACCTAATCAGTCGATTAAAATACTATGTGAGCACAGCTGCCAAAGAAGTAATACTAAGAAAAAAAATCTTTAAAATTAAGTAGGCTAGCTAAAACACAAAACCTGTTTCATGCCAAGATTATACAGAAATCAGAATGAGCGAGATCACATCAATAGCGGCACCATCCCTGCTTCTACGATTAACTCTTGTCATGATCATATACTGGGCTGTGAGAACAAAAATACTGGACTATAAAAACTCTCCATGAAACGGGATTCACGAAAAAAGGATACTCAACCATAGCTTGAACTCCATTTTTCTTGAAGATGACAATCCTTTGTACTTGACCATAAGGTCCATTGATTTTGTGGATGACATCCTGTTGAAAAAAGTCAAAATGACAAGGTGACACTGCATTAACATACAGTCAAACCTTGTTACATTGCCAGCCCTGCTTACCCCCATGTTTTGCCAACGTACAAAGGGGAATGCATAAACATAGAATTTGTGCCTTTACAACCGCCATCTGTTCAGTTTGCACGGTCCTTATAAAACTAATGTAAAGTTGCCCCTCTATACCGCCGGAGGTACACCACTACACTCACTTGGTGGCTGCTTGATAATCTCTTTACCACACACATCTCTGCAAGTTCCGCCTATTTCTACTTTTGAGGAACGATTTAATTTCCACTTTTCTGTAGTTTCCACTTAAAAAACATGTATATTCTTTGAAACTCATATAAACTGTAGTTCAGATTACTTTCCCCTATCTCGCACATTACAGCTTGCTCACAAATTATTTGTACAGTAGTTTCAAACAAGCTTGCAGATCTAGCCATAATTTGGGCACAATAGCATAAATGAAGCCCACTTTTCTTTATTCTTTGGAGTTTATATTCATCAAATGGGACACAAGAAAATATGAAATACAAAATACATTTTAAAATAAAATTTCAATTCCTCCCCCCCCCAATAAAAATGATAAATGAACTTACAACTGTGATGGGGTACTGTGGGTTGAGGATAGTAAACAGCAAAATGTGATTTGGTGGTTTTGCATCCTCCCCTTCCCTGCACAAAGAAAAAAAAAATCATTTTTAAAACGGCATTGTAATAACAATATACAGTACAGTATATAAACATCAACAGGTAATCACTGGGCTGAGGGAGAAAGTACTGGCACAACAAATGTTACCTAAAAGAGCTCTTAAAAATGGAACGAAAACTCTGACAATATTCAAACCAATCTTTCAAATCATATCCTCTTCTCTCAATAATATGTAAACATTCTTTAAACAATTGTCCTGTTTTAATACCTACCAAACCGTTCCAAAGATTCGAAAGAAAAAAAAAAGTACATACCCTGGACGCAGAATCTTCTGGCTGAGTGAGAAATTGAAAAAAGCTGGCTGACCGGCACAGAAAATGGAGTTTCCCTGCTAGGAGGAAACAAAAAGACATTTAAAAAAAAACTGAAGGCCTTTCAAAAGCAATACAATCAAAATTACACCCTACAAACTAAAACAAACTTCATTTCAACATACAGGCTCTTTGTTCCACAATCTCCTATTTCAAAGACAATTACAGAACTGAAACAGATGCAAGAACTACTGAAACGACATTCTGGTCAGAAAAACAAACACATTTTCTAAAACAGCATAGCCATTTAGGGGGCGAGAGACATTATTCAACTTCTTTTCTGTCAAGTAAAAGTATATGTGAAACAAGGAAACCCTGCGAGGAAAAAAAAATTGGGGGGTATTTTCATTTCATAGACCTGCATGTGAGCCTCAACCAGATTATCTGAAAATTTTGCGCAACACCCCCCAATAAGAGCTTTTGTGGGAGTCATAAGGAAGGACTTCTGAGTAACGAGCAACCACCCCAACAAACACAATAAAGAAGAGACCTAACCCTAACCCTACCCCAAAAAAGAACCTGCAACGGGCCTCAAGTAAAAAGGCCAGCACAAGTCCAAAATTTAAAAATTAAAAAACCACATTCCAAAACAAACAAGGAGCTATGGCCTACATCTACATTGCTATAATGGGGTTTGATACAATAACACTATAGAATTGGAATATGAATCCTCCATATATAGATCTAGATCTAGTAATCTTCTAAATAAATCTAGATCTAGATCTTGTAGAACAAGTGAATAGGAATAGGCCTTGAACTAGATCTAGATCTAGAAATCCGCAGCCGATTCCGAATAGAGGGACTCAGCTGAGTCTAGAATCTAGATCTAGATTCTAAATAAACAAATAATTCACTAATGTCACGCACCTGATGAAATGCTTTTTACCAACATTAATATTACAGCACATCCTATGATAGGGCTTGACACAATAGAATTGGAATATGAACCCTCCATTGAGGTCTATAATGATCTATATAAATCTAGATCTAGATCTAGATTCTATTAGAACAAGTGAGTCGGACTTGAATGAATCCACACGATCTGAACAATTGAATTAGTCAACAAACGAAATTCAAAATGGCCGCTCGAGCACGAAACTGAAAGTAGATGATTTAGGTCGCCGTCCTTTTTCGTATTCGCATTTCTACTCAGGTTCCGACAATTATGTCGGAAGCGCCAACGTCGGCACGAAAACGAAAGTAGCGACAAAGCCGACGAGAGAAAATGGGGGCGCTGGCAGTCGGCCAGGCCTCGCACTACGCACATTGATTGACAGGTGGGCCCTAGCGATAGCATCGGCCGGCTCGCAGGTCGAGTCGCGATTGTCGGCAAACATGCAGGTCTAATCTCAGTTCTAGAAGGGAAAAACAGGTACTTTGCATTTACTCCAAAATATTTCAACAGCACTTAAATCTCCCAGAGTTAACACTCCTCTATTGTGAAATAACTGATCAACTGTAACCGATCCAAGCCACGTACCTGACAGTATTCCACACAGTTCTTCGCACCAGTAATGTCCTGTACAAAAGGAAAAAAATTGTTTTAAATTTTATATGGTACAAACTTCTATAATATAAATGCTCTTGGGCATATACATTGAATAAATTTCCTCGATAAAGTTAAGGGTGGAGGGTAACTGTGAAAGAAAGAGTGGAGTAAAAAGAGGCTGCTGAAAAAAATAATTAATTAACAAAATACTAACAATAACAACAAAGACATCCTTAAAATAATACATAACATAACATCCCACCAAGAATATCAGTCCATTGCTTTAGTTTACTTTAGCAAAGCTGTACCACATCTTTTCAACATAGAACATATTATGAGAGCATCAGACATAGTCATTGTTGCAATATGGCACTTGGCTTGCATCATCAGCTTTTACTTGAGAGAGTGAGACATCCATAATCCGAGTAGCAGGAATGTGTCTCCCCCCGGTCAATATCAGTCGTAAGACGCAATGTGCCATTAACAGCTACGAGGCTTGAAAGGCAAAAAAGTGACTTTCCACGAATTTTTTTTTTCATCTATTGAAAGCCCGATATATTCTGCTTCATTCAAGATCAAAATAAACAACTATGATCAACAGAGATGCCAACCAAACAAAACCAAAATGAGTATTGGGAAATATGAAAATGTGTATTTTCAGGGGAAAATGTGTATTCTCCACGACCGACCGACCAAGTAGTAAAATGTTCAGGTTGTCCAGCAATATTTTCTGAAAAACATTTACGAGCTCACCAGCTTGAAAAAGGGAGCACACAGGCGTACAATATACATGTATCCTGTCAACAACATGTCAGTGTTCAGTGTCGTACTGGGGTCTTGTTTGACTTAAGTATTTCAGTCTGTTATAATATTTTCCACTCATTATTATTATAAAAAATTAATCCTGTTTGGAGCGTTCGGAAGTGCCTAGAACAAGAATTTCGACTATCAAGAACCAGTCTAGGTGTCATGATTCATATTATGAACTGACAGACTAAAATTATTGCTCAAACACAGAGAAAAGCAATAACTTGAAAGGCTCAAGTAGACCCGTGCACTGTGAGAGTTGTAACAACTGTGGGAGGGCAAGAGGCAGTGACACTGAAAATCTGCCAGTCTTGAACAGAAAGCTACAACAAACACTGTAGGTATAATTTACTATCACCCATTCAATGACACGCGAACATTTTATTTCAATTACACAGACTTGCAAAGTATGAAGGGTCCCGATTTCGCACACAGCCTGCACCAACGCGCGCTTTGCAGAGAGCTCTAATCAAAATTCTGAAATTTGCCTCCAAGTTTTTGCCCTCTGGTGTTGCCTTCACTCCCCCCCCCCCCCCTCGAGTGTATATAAAAAAATCAATAATCCCCTCCCGTTGTCCTATACTTGGCAACGCCGTTACTCCCATCAAACACGGTCTTTGCTCACACGATGCCGCATTTATTTGTGATGCGAATGCGCGCAGGTTCATTGACCGGTCACGATGGCGAGCCCGACAATCTAAAAATCTGACGACGCTTGTATTTTCTTTTCTTTTTTTCCTATAGTTCAAGTAACAGCACAGAGACGAATTCGAGAAATTTTATTTGCACGGCAACACAGCGTTTACACTACACAACCTGCACGTCACAAATAAGTTGTGTTATCAGTCTACCGCTTGCAAACTTCTCGGTGGGGGCTCTCGTGGCCTAGAGGTTAAGGTGTTCGCCTCTCATTCAAAGGTCCCGGGTTCGAATCCGGGTAGCGACCAAAAAATTTTCTTCTCTAAATTTGTCTCCTTTCACCTCCTTTCCTACTACTCTCTAGCAATGTTCTGTCGTCTGCTTTCGTCTCCTCTTTCTGCCCCCCACCCCTTCACCTCCTTTGCCCCCTCCTCTGGGCTTCCGATTCTTTCTGCAGCCTTTCTACTGCTACTCATTGGCTTCTTCTTACTGCGGTCTTTCAGCCACACCCCTGATCTTCTGGTAGGAAAGATCTACACCTAGCCTTCTCGGACAAGGGTGAAAAATCTCGGAGGTCCCGTGTGCAAGCTGTGCACTTTAAAGATCCCTTGGTGGACTAAAATCGATAAGAGTAGGCTTCGGCCGCCACCCGGGCAAAATTCAAAATTTCCTACCAACTGAAAAAGTTTAGTGTGTCCCGCGCGCTCATATGACCTTATGCAGTTGCAAGCGCCGTAAAACACTTACAAAAACAAAAAGCAAAACATCTCGGTGGTAACGAAAGCGAAAGTAGATCTTGATTTTCCCGATCAAGCCTCGGTGTCACATACACTTCCGCCTGCCGCCATAGCCGCCTGTTCGCGTGAAAGTAAAACGTACTCTCGGGGGAGGAAAAGCTGAACGAATATTATCACTATCGCGACCGGCAAAAATTAACTTACTGACCTCATCGGACTTGGTTTTCAAATATTCCAGTTCCGCGATACCGATACTATTCTGACAAAAGAGGGGACTTGAGATAATTAGGTTTACTCGCCCAAACTGGATCTCGTATTTTTCGCATTCCAGGATGCGTATTTTTTCATGAAAAGTCGTATTCGCGTATTTGCGGCAAAAAATCGTACTAAAATACATAAAATCATACTGGTTGGCATCTCTGAATCAACTATAAATATTGTATTTATTTTGGGGGTGTGTGTGGTTTGTTGTGAGCTTGGGTGGCGAGATATAGGAATTTGGACCTTGCTGCTGTGTAGCTGTGAGATTATTTATACAACCATTATCTCATGGCCACCTTTGCTTCAACGTTCTTTATTTGCAACTATTTTTTATTAAAATTTCGAGCATGAATGGTCTGAAATGTAAACAACTTGTCACTGTGCACGACTGAGGGCTATGATTGGTTAAACGGGGTAAGAATGGTAGCCTCTAGCTCACTTCAAGCTTGTTTACGTAAACAGCTGACAGTGTGGACCTGCCCTGCTAGCTGTTATCGTCTGTTGACCTTTCAGTTTTACACTTGGATTGACTTAAAAGTTTCGTGTTTTGGTGTGGTTTAGTGCTTTTAAAAGATTAACCTTCCTCTAGATCTCTCAAAACGGACTCCAAGAGGCCACCGAGGCGGTCTATGTGCATGAGTGTATGCTCTCGTGTGTTTATGGTGCTATTGCAAATGTATAATTAGGCAGCGTAAACACGGCACGTAAGCTGACTCGCCGCCTTCCGAGGGCGTGGTTTCCGTGAAAAGGGGGTAATTCAGATAGCTGTTTCTTTGCTCTTTTGCTATAAAACACCCAAACGCTGTACACTTTGAAAAAGTTCAGAGTTTCCTCGTTACAATAGCGTAAGTTGTTTGTATATCCAAATATTCGGAGCAGGAGAATCGCCACGGAAAGGGAAGCCCCTCGCAGTCAAAATGCGAGATCGGCCGGTTCATGCATTCAAATGCTTTGTAGAAAGATTGATGATTGAATACCCGTCTTTTCTTTGTTGGAGAACACAGATTTGAGCGTGGTTTCCCATGGTATATTTTTGGCCTAAAGGGTTTCGATTCCTACTTATTCCTCCTTCCTCATCGTTTCACAAATCATAATTTTTAAAAACGATGCTCTGTAATCATAGAAAAGGTAAAATTAGAAACCCACAATTAGACAGAGAAGGACCTTACCTCAAATTCAATCAACGCTTGTCTTTTTCTTGGCATCATCATGACATCTCTGCAAGGAAAACACAACAGCCATTAGAATATTCATTCTCATTTGACAAAATGTTAAGTCATTTCTAAATAGGAAAGTGTGTTACAGGCTATCTGCAATCAGAAATTACTTTCACTTCCATTGAGCACAAAAAGAGATTTGAACACCAGGTCATGTGCACCTGAAGTTGAACAAAAGGGTAGTAATTGTTGGTCAAGGATATGAAGGGGAATGTATATATATTTAATCAAGAAGATTCTCTCACTCAACCATCAACAGAAATCTACAATGTTCGCTCTGTGAACAGGGGGAACGGGACCAACAATCATTTTGAATTATACAAATCGACAAATCCAATACCTGACAGCTCCAAAGTGCTGCACTGCTTCCACAAGGTCACCTTCAATAGCTTGATCAGACAGACCTCTTACATGCACGCAAGGCGAGGGGGCAGGTTTGAAACGGTCTTCTGGGTCCTGCAGGAAACAAAATCATAGCAATATAATTGAAAGCTAACCGATTTGGACAGTATTAGTGCATGAGATACTTGTTTTTGTGTAACCTTTATTGCATTGGGTCATTAGGCATAAATGCTTAGCCATATTTCTCACATTAAAAAAAAAATCCCAGGGGGTTTCAGGGAAGCAAGCCCCAGCTTTAAAAAAAATGTAGGCAGGTGGGTTCCTCTTTATCATCCTTATCCATTATGATAATATGAATAATAAGCTTATTCAACACCTCTCAGCTGTGACAGATTGTTCTGCCTTGTACAAACAAGTTGACAACGGATGATTTGATGTTGAGGTGTGAAAAAAAAAAAAAGACCCATAGTTCAACTTTAACCATCAGGATCACATAATCAATGGACATAAAATCTTTTCTCCTGCTTACTTAAGATAAATTTACATATGGTCCCCGCTAATGATTCTCAGACATTTTTTTCAGAAAACCATCTTTCTTATTAGTTGTAGCGAAAATAAATTTTGACTTTCTTTGCTGTTTGAATGAGTTACTGTAGGATGGAGTGAGTGATGCAAAATCTTCAAGTGCAAAACCATAGAGTAATAAAATCTATTCATTTGTTTCAATAGATTTAACTTTTAATCTGCCATCTTCAACAGATGTGACTAATCCACAGATAAAGACAAAATTCTCCATACTCACTCAGACTCAGCAGTCAAATTTTTTTTAATGCCCTGTCTCTTTACAGCAGCTTCATGTTACATTTACTTTTACGAGAAGGTAGTGTCAATTGCCACTGTGTGACACGGTAACAATTGATGCCAGCGTCAATTGCCACCAATTAAATTGTAGCTCTTTTGCGTTGGTGAGTAGATCTAGCCCATGTATGCTTGCTCAGTATTCTGCGTTTGAGAACTTTCGGCTAAAAATCTCCCCCCTGCTTGTGGGTTACAGTGAATGAATTCAAAAGTCAGAACAGGCATGTCAGAAGACCCTACGAATCACTAGGCGGTGTTCCCTTTTCATTTTAACCCCACTGTGGGGTGGCCGGTTTGAGCAAGCACAATTTTCGTGATTTTGCTCAAACCAGCCAAGTAGATTTTCTTGTGCTTGCTTACCCAGTATTTTACATATTATAGAGCTAAGAGTAAATGTTTGCAGGGGTTGTTAGCACTTTACAATGTGAATTCAATATGTGTGTGTGCATGAGTGCGTGTGAGTATTAAGGTCTAGTAGCATGCAAGGTGTGTGACCGTATATTATGTGTGAGTAAGTACAGACATAGATCTAGTATAGTGTTTGTGTGTGTGTATGTTTGTAGTGTGTAACAGTTACAGTAAAATGATATGGTATGGTGTGTATCTATTAGATCTATGTGTATGTGTGTATGGATGAGTGTGTGTGTGTGTGTGTCTGCATTTTGTGCATGTTTGAGCTTTAAAACCCAGGAATTGACCATGCCTGGGCAGATGGGTTGCCTACTATGATAGATCCAGCTGGTACAGACAGTCGAATAACTAAATTAGTCTAAATACACCCAAAAATAAACATGTAATCTCTTAAATATGGGATTAAACAAAGGAAAGTAGTATTTTCCTTCACCAAAGAGGGTGGCCAGTTTGAGCAAATGGGTGACCGGTTTGAGCTGTAAAGGTTTCAAGAGTGGCCGGTTTGAGCAAAATGTGACCACATACAATTTATATGTGTATCATCGGGATAATAGGGTAGATAGAAATATCGAAGTGACTATTTCTCCGATCCGAACGTTCATAGAAATAGTCCCGATCTTTATTTCTCCGAACGGTTTCCGGCTTCTCATCTCGTGATTTTTTGCCTATTTGCGAGAGTTCGGCGTCAACTTTCATTCTGCCATGTCTGGGAAGGAGCAAAATTTTTTTTATCTAGATCTATTTCAATTTCAATTCCAAGAGCTTATCTAGAGATTTTTAGATGTCTGAAAATTCAGATAGTTCAATTGTGGTTGGGGCAACGTTCCCGGACTATGCTCGTTTGAAAATGCCCCCCCCCCCCCAACAATAAAAAATTAATAGAAAAACAACACATCAGAACAATAATAAGGAAAAAAAATTACACACCAACAAAATAAAACACCACAAAGAGGGGGAAAAATAAAAGAGGAACAGCAATACAAATCGTATGTAACTGTAACGTATTCAACAAATCAACGTGGTGACAACAAGTGAGAAAGAGACAAAGTGAAGCTAAATCAAAATACTTTCTTTCAAAAAGTAAAGAGGTTCGGTTTCTTTTTTGTGTTTGTTTAGTTGACTTTTATTCCCCGACTCGGGGACCGAAAATGCCAAAAAATAGAGCCGCGATTGATTGGTCGTGGCCGCGACAAACGCAGATGCCGCTTCTATGTGTTGTTATCAATAACCCTCCATAAATCTAGATCTACATCCTGACAGCACACGAGTGAACACAACACATTAAGTTTAAGAGCAGCACCCTTCACAGGCAACACGTCATAGCTGTAGCGAAAAACTGGAACTGTAGCATTTCTTTATACATCAGAGCTTTTCCAGCAGCTGATGTCATTTTTTGAGGATTTTCGGGTCCAGGGCGGCAGGGGGTTGAAGGGGGACAGCGTCCCCTTTCTGTTTGAGAAATTTTGGTTTCAGGGCATCCTAAGTATGCCATTTCTGGCTATTTAGGCCTAAATTTAACTAGAAAATAATTGAGGAAAAAACACCATACCTTGTAGACCTAGATCTATAGGCCTACATAATTTTCTGCTTGTGTTAATCAATCCATATATTTCTGCTTGTGTTGGTTTGCACCATAATCAGCATAAGGTGTAGAATTTTTACAATAATAGCTTTTTATATAACAGCTTGACTTGATCTCTAGATTCTAGATCTAAATAACTTGACAGCTTATATTCAACTTAAATCCACAACAATACTTACAAATAAACAAGTCTGGTAAAAAAAAAATCAAGCTCTCTTTAGAGTTTTCTTTTCTTGGCAGGCCCAAGATCTATTGAATCACAATTGTCATTTCTTCCTCTTGTTTACAGAGCTGGTGCTCTGCTTCTTGTGCTTTAGAAAGTGAAAGTAGAAGACACTGTCTACACTTTCAAATAAAAGAGCACTTCCGGTATGGGTTGGCTATTCTTGACTATTGGTAATAACGGAAAATTTTTATTTCGCATTTTTGAAAATAATATTTTTGGGGGGGGCACGAATTTTAACGAAAATTTTTCCATTTGCGGAAATCTGCTAATTTGCGGAAGACTGGAAGCCCTGATACATAAACATTTACTGCCGACATTTTTTGGACTGATTAAACCATATTGTATACGGACAATCTTTGGTAGTTCTAGAAGTAGAAGGTCAAAAACGCACACAAACTCAAGCAGAAATTCACGTTATATCGGGGAACGGGGGTCAGGAAAAGACACACACACACACAGGGACAGAGAGGCGAACGCACAACACCCAGCACTCAAGCACAATAAGCTAGATCTACCACCAACGCAAAAGAGCTCCAATTTACTTGGTGGCAATTGACAAAAAGTCAATTTTTGTCAATTGCCACCGCGTCACTCGGTGGCAATTGACACTACCTATATATATATATATAATATATTATATATATCCTAAATTTGCGGGAAAGGGTGTGATTTCAGAGGGTCCTGAGAAATAGTGGCCAGATTTATTTTCCCGAACGTTAGGAGAAATAGTGCCGGCCTAGAAATATTGCTGGTTCACCGCAAACCGGCCACATTTGACGTTTATTATGCAACACCACCCTTCGCAATCAATCCTATTTTGGTGTGACAATCGAGGTCCAAAATCAACGTAGGCTCGACCCTGTGCGAATAAAATTAGGCTGCGGTTATTGGTACAATAGTGTGTACAACTCTAACTAGTTATTAGAACAATTGTACTAATAACCAGACATAGTTATTCGTACAATTATTCGAATTTTGGTTGTTGGTAAAAATAAGCCTAGATCACTAGATCTAGTCATCCAGTTGGTTCTCCCCTGGGTTGAGCATCAAAGTAATAACTTTAACCAGGTCTAAATTGGTAGGCTTAAAAGGAAAAGTAGGCGAGATCTATACTTCTATCAATATATAAGTAGATCTAATTATGACTAGATTCTAGATCTAGATTTATACGTTTCTTTATTTTTACACAAAACCAGGAGTGGAAATCTTTGAAGTCAAAACAAACAATTATGGGGAAAAAAATTGTTGGTCAGTTGGGGGAGGAGAGATAAGAAGGGAAAAAAAAACAAAAAAACAAAACTTCCAGGACCGGGATTCGAACCCACACTCATAATACTTCTTCAAACGCAGACACGCTGTCATTTCGGCCATCAGAACTATCAATTGAAGGAGGTAGATTTAAAAGCTTAAATATTTTTATACCACGATTTTAAGGCAACACATATTTCTAGATCTGTCTTATCTAGAGTCTAGATCTAGATCTAGACTTGGTTTTTTTACATGAGGCACGAGGGGCACACCATCATCAAAGAGGCGGCTGGCATCAGATCAGCAGATGAGGTCTGACAAAAAATTAAAAAATTTAAGCAGGTGGAATTATATTGGAAACACTGATCTAAAATCTCTAGGTCTAGATTTCGATTTTTAGATCTACTAAGACAGAACATGTTGGTAGTAGGCCTGTGGGCATGCAGGCCTACTATTGTACGGATACCTGCAGCACTTCGTACAATTGTGCGTACAACGTTGTACGGATAACTAGACAGAGTTGTTCGCACAATTGTACGGTACAATATTGTACGGATAACTAGACAGAGTTGTTCGCACAAATGTACGGATAACCACACTGTAAAATTATTTCTTATTCCCACACCCGGTGTGAATAATATTAATTCTTATGCGCACACCCGGTGTGAATAAAATGAAATCTTATGCGCACACCCGGTGTGAATAATCACTTCCTTGTTTTAACATGGCACTCAGCCTTCCTTGTCTTATACTGATACGTTTCGTTTTATTGTCACCCTTGCACAAAATCAGGAACAAAATAAAAATTACAAACGAAATACAAACCAACAACAACAACATAATGGGGCTACTTTCGATTGGGACCTCAGATGGGAATGGTTTTTTTTTTATATCTTGATCAGTCCTGCCTACGACGGCCACTTTTCTCTTTGACAATGGGTGGCCGTCTTACACAGGTTTGACTGTACTTAGACGTAGTCACGTGATTGGAGGGGAATCCTGGTGTGATGTTAAACAAGATGGGCGCCGTACCTAAAAATAGTTTGCGTCTTTCTACGTTTAATCGCATGTGTTAAAACAAGGAGGCATGCCCCTCTGTAACACCCCCCCCCCACCCCCCCATTTTCTTTTGGCCACCTCTATTCTCACCCAGGGTGAGAATAGTGCAGGCGAGTCTTTTGGCTATTCTCACCCGGTGGGCGTTCACCGTTATAGCCTAGGCCAACCAGTGAAGCGTTCACCCTCAACCACAAAATTCTACACTGTGATAACAGATTTATAGAAGTCTGTGCTGTGAACAAACGTTCTAGATCTATTACTACTGTTAGCTTTAGCCTAAAAGCGTGCAATTTAGTCTGTGGGCAGTGGAGAGAGAGAGAGAGGAGTAGCGCGAGAACTTCTGGGCAAAACAAAATGGCGACCCGCGTAGTTCGGCTCGATTCGAAAAGTTAAATAGCCGTAGTATCTTTGTGGACAACCAAATTTATTTAATTTTGTTGTTTAACATCATTTTTTAACTTTGTTTTTGTCAATTTGATCGTCCACACCAATAGTATTCAGAAAGAGACAGAGAGAGGGGAGGAGTAGTTCGGCTCGATTCGAAAAGTGAAACAGATCTAGCCATAGCATCTTTGAAGACGATCAAATTAGCTTACTTTTGTGCTATAACGTAATTTTTTCTTGGCTTTTATCAATTTGATCATCCACACCGATAGACAGTATTCCAAAATGAGGAAAAACAGGTCTTGTTTCACACCGGGTGAGAACACCCTACGCTGGCAATTCTCACCCTGGGTGAGAGGTAGGTAGATCTAGATTCTAGATCGTATTTTTATTCTCACCCCGGGTGAGAATAGCCACTTCCTTTTCTTTTACCCCAGTGGGCAGGCCCCCCTGGACCCCCCCCCCCCCGATTGGTCCATTGGTCCATAGCACATCAAGATCTAGCCTACTCTAATACTTAGTACAGTGGAGTCCACTTATAACGAGTCCTGAAGCAACGGGAAGTCTGTTATAATGACATCAATCTAAAACCCTGTTTTTTCCCCTTATTTATCTTTGTAAATAAAATACTGCTATTGCGCAATCACATAAACGCGCGAGTCGGTTATAGCAGAATATAGCTGCTGCTGTGCACAGTGCATAGGCCATTTATTCAAGCAAAACCTCGCCAGTTGAGAAACTTGGTTATCAAGCGAAACAAAGAAAGGGAGTGCCCATGTGTGCCAACGATGAAGGCCTGAGTGAATGAGTGGGGAGTGTGTGTGGCACGTGCAGACACACTTTTGTGAAGCAGAACGCATTGCCTGATAGTGATAGGCCAGCCTAGTCTAGATTATCTAGGCCTAGGTAGGTATTGTATCGTGCCTCTCACTTCTCCGATGCGGGGATGGAGAGGTCACAGTGCTGTGATTGATCATAGAGTATAGAGCGAATGTGTGACGTGCACAAGCAGACGCGGAAACGCGCCACAGGGTGTGGTGGGGTGGGGGGGAAACACAGCGGGCGAGTTACTCTCAGTTAGCCTAGAGTAGAACTTTCGTTCTGATAGCTAACGCCGAGCTGTCAACATCGGTAACGCTAGAGTAAGAAACCTGATTCAATTTTTGATCAAGTAAGACCTAGAGGTCATGTTGAACAAAGCCATCATCGGAGGAGATAACAAAAAGAAATAAAACAGAACACCAAACTCATAGATTAGGCCTGCTTTATTATTTCCTTTGAATTTGTTACTGGATCCCTTACAACGAGAATCCTGCTATAATGGACATTTCGTACCGGTCCCCTCCCTCTCATTATAACAGGATTCCACTGTATTACTATTAAGGAAGAGGCTAGCTGTACTTAATGACGGCTAGACTGGCAGTCTAGCCGTACTTAAGTACGGCTAGACTCACAGTCTAGCTGTACTTATTCTTAATATGATGGCTAGACTGACCATTTACAAAAAATAGGCCTACTGAATTGTAAATATACATTTTTAGTGTGCAGTACCTAAAGTATTTGTATTTGAGACAAAACCAGGTTCCTTAATGACAGTGCATGTATTTTAAACCTCCTGTTTTCTAATGTAAATAGGGCCTAAGATAAGTACGGCTAGACTTCTTGTCTAGCCGTACTTAAGGACGGCTAGACTGTCAGTCTAGCCGTACTTAATTGACAGCCAGGCTAGCCGTACTTAAGGACGGCTAGACTGCCAGTCTAGCCGTACTTAATTGACTTAATATTGATGGCTGAATTGTAAATGAAAATTTTAGTTTGCAATGCCTAAAGTATTTGTATTTCAGACAAAACCAAAAGGTGCCTTACTGACTTGCATGTATTTAAACCTGAATAATTACTAGATCTAGATCTAGATCTAATGAGACCTGTGTACTTAACAGGCTTGAGTTGATTGGGCCAAACCTAGATCTAAGTACGGCTAGACTGGCAGTCTAGCCGTACTTAAGTACGGCTAGCCACTTCGTACTATTAATAAGAACAATCAAATATTTCAAAAACTATTAATTTGTGATGGAAATGAAGATGATACTCATGTTCAGCGCATCAATATTTAGATCTAGAGTAGGCCCGCATCACTGCGCTACTGTTTGGGTGCGCAACCCCCGGTCTCCTGCTTTGTTTTGGATAAGAACAGCGAAAACGAGGTCACTTTCTGTGAGCATGCGCAGAATGCAGCTTATTTCACTTTCGTTTTGGAGGTTCCTGTCAACACACGTGATTCTACGGTGTCGGAAAGTTTTGCCCCTTCATATTAATGGTTTTCGTAACCGGTATCGGTCAATTTACTAAGCGCTTGAGTAGTCGATTATTTAGCACATCTCGCTAATCTAGCTCTAAAATGTATACTAGAATCGATAAATACTATCGCAGGCTGCTTCTTAATGCCCAGGAACATGCCAGATAGGGTTGCGCACTGAAGCGGACCAAATTTGGGCAGTCCGTTTCAGTACGCAATATCGGCTTTTTTGCTATTTGGCATTGATAGTGTGGCTTCTAGGCCCTTTGTTTGTTTTACTTATTAAGTTATTTCTTTATGACCTGCATTGTACACTGGAACAGACTGTTTTCCTTCCATTTGGATGCATTATATTGCCATTGGAAGATGATAAGTTAATGTATTCATGTCAAAATTAATTAATATGGAAATATAATCTCCAAAATGTTCAATTTCTTCTTTTCATGTCTTTTTCTTCTTCTTTTTTGCCCTTTTCCTTAAAGAATACTAGTCTAGGTATAGTCTAATTCTTGTTTTCTTCTTTCACTTCCTTGTGTCCACAGCACCTTTCTTTTTCAATTTCTTCTTTTCACGTCTTTTTCTTCTTCTGTTTTGTCCTTTTCCTTCTAAAATACTAGTCTAGGTATAGTCTTATTCTTGTCTTCTTCTTTCCCCTTCTTGTGTCCACAGCACCTTTCTTTTTATCCATTATCAAAACACATACACAAGGTGTAAGGAAATCTGTTAGGGGGCGAACAGCTCCCAAAAAGAACACCCCTAATTGACCTTGGCCTTCCGTTATGGTCAGTACAGGAACTTCTTGCAAGGAAAAGAAGACAAGGCAAGGATAGAGAAAGATGAAAAGTGTCAGAAAAGAGCTAGATCTAGATCTAGAGCTGTAAACATGGTACTATTGCGCACCCAACCAGACGATATGTTGCACCAAACCAGAAACCTTGCGAACCAAACCAGACACACGTTACCAAACAAACACCACCACAACATATAGAAATTTTAAACTGCTGTTACAGTAATACGCTACACCATATAGAGAGGAAGTTTTTCTAACTTCTGGTGAAAAAATCATGAAGATCGACCTGTAACTTCCAGAGATATCCACAAAAGATCGCTTACTGTATATCGCACCACAGGATGTACTCTCTCTAGATTAGATCTCTAGACTAGACTTCTAAATCTAGAGTCTAGTAGAAAATGGACAACTGGTAGCTAGATCTAGATCTAAGTGTGAGACGGGAGGGAAAGTAAAAAAAAAATACTCTATTCTAGATCTAGATCTAGATCTAGATCTACAACTTATTCATAATTCATGGGTTTGTAACACATGACATGAATAGAAAGCTAAGATACAGCGTTGTTTTCAGACTGGCCAGACTTGACACTGCTTCACTCAATCACTGGGTGGCAATTGTCGCTACCTTACTGTCCTTACGGGAAGGTATCTAGATTCTACATGCAAGCTAGACATGCAACATGCATGAAAGAATGTTACATGCATATCACACAGAAACAGGTTTTGGGCCAAAATACGCGATTGGGGATGCGACAAAGAGTTCCAAAACCAGCTCCGACTCATGTGTGACCGGGCGCATGATAAGATGCTTGTCAAAGGCCGTGATGACAACACCTCCTTCCGGCATAAAAATGAGGTTCTAAGCAATAATTTGCAATTTTTCCAATAAATAAAACATGCGTACCCTAGTGCCATCGTCTGTCCGTTGTCTTTTGTTGGAGTGTTCGTAATTATTTGCCATTTTCCCCCGATGATTTTGTATGCAGCCGGCAACTTCCTGAGCAATGGTGGAAAGGAAAATGTCGGTCGTTTGTGCCAGGTTTAGCTACGTTTTGCAATGGGCAGGAGTCTAATGTCATTATAAGGCGAGGCCTAGCATATGAAAAATGAGGTAAACCTACAATTTCGATCCCAAATCCACGGATGGCTTTTTAAAAAACTGCAAAGATTTTTTAAAGTTCAAAACGTAACTATGAATTCAGATTACCTTCTCTTTGATGTTTGAAACAGTTTTGATTAACCATTGCAATTGTATGTAAAACAAAACTAAAAATATGTTTTGTACTAATAGCGGCCAACTTGGTATTATGCTATGAACCTCTCTTTCGCTCAATGCCTTCCCATGATTCTTTCAACAGCGCCCCCTCTCCACTCTCCGCTCCCTGGGCCAGTAGGCCTACAGGAGTGTGCGTAAAATGTTTTTGTGAGAGCGATTAAAATCGAATTATAATTTGGCCATATATTATGAGAGTGTGGTTAACTATTAACATAATATAAACGTGTCACCCCAATTGCAATAAGTAGAAGCCTGAGACCCTGGGCTCATGTTGAAGGAAAAATAATGAAAACATTTTTAAAAAATAGTTTTCACAAGTAAAGAATCCTCAACTATGTGATCTCATTATCTCACTCAAGCTCTGTATCTTATTTTGAATAGTCTAGTTTGCCACCTCTTCACAATAAATCATGAAAACTGGACAGATTCCCAGTTATGGTGCTTCAAACACCTTTGGTGATTAATTGATGGTGGTGTAGCCTGTGTGTGTGTGTGTGTGTGTGTGTGTGTGTGCGCGCGCGCGCGCGTGTGTTTGTGTGTGGAAAAAAAAGGGGGGGGGGGCTTGGTTAGGTTGCAGAACTTATCAAACATAGCAGAGTAGTGTTGTCAAAGTGGTCTCAGCAAGAGTTTTAAGCCATTTGCGATTTCCATATATGTATATATATTACGTGTGTGTGAGTTCAAGATCCCTGCAATTACAATCAGTCTTGTAGTGACTGCACCAGAACGATGAAGATGATTGACAGGCCAGCACGAGTGGGAGCTTCAGTGTCCGGCAACTTCAGGCCTAATTAAATTGAGTAGGACTAGATCTAGGCACCATTCACTTATGAACTCACAACAGGTGGCAAAAAACCCCAACAACAACAAACAAACAAACTCAAACAAACAAACCCAAAAAAAACCAACAACCCCATAATATCATGCATGATAATCTATCAGTTTCTATATTATAGATCTCTGGCTGGTAATTGTAACATGATGAAGAAATAATTTTGTTTTACAGCCTGGGTCTGCAAATTTGTACAGACTAGACCCTTGCAAAGCCTTAATAGCAATGCCTTATAATTATTATCTGAGAATCTGGCCAGTGTCATCCAAATTTATTTAGTAAATTCTATGTCGGTCGTTAAACTCTTAGTATTGAGCACAATCTATTTATTTTCACGTAAGTCTAGCTGTAATAACGAAGAATAAGAAATAATGTTGTTTTCACAACAACACATAGGCCAATAATATATTATCTCAGGCTTCCAAGTGAGGAGAGGTGTCAGTAATTTGTCAACGGCAGGCCTGCCTACTTTGATTCTTTTCAAGGCCACCGTCGACATAAGATATTAACTGGAATTATTTGCTATTTCGATATCCGTCATGTCAGAGTATTAACAGATTTAATATTCATGAAGTGTCAAGCACTATCATTATAATTCAGACCGGGCTCAAATTTGCACCTCAAACTTCCGCGTAACATATTATAAGTCTGTATAGAGATCTATATCCCGTGCGTGTGCTACAGGGCACGGCGGCGCTGACCTGGCTTTGACCTTCGAGATTAACAACATAAATAGCAGTATGGATCGTGACGACCAACCGCAGGTCGTTGAGATTCGACATTTAGCAGGCTCATAAATATTTTATTTGTTTTGAAACCGTGCTTATTTCTGAAGACTGAAGGCATCATTCAAAATCATAAATGGGGGAACAAAACAATTTTAAACGTGATCTTTTCCTTGTTTCTACAACACCCCCACCCCCAATACTTTCAAATAATTTCCCATTGCTTAATTTCACTTTGAAATATTATGTACAGGGTTTACTCTCCTATTTCACCACGTGCCCTCATCCCCCACCCCCCACCCCCCTCTCTCACTTTGAAATATTATGTACAGGGTTTACT